TGTGAAAAATTCTGTTTGATTTTTTTTCACTATGTATTTGAACTATTTATACCCCCTAAATTAAATTAGTTTAGATTCTAATTAAAATTGCCTTACTTTGCTTCTAAAGTGACTTGTTATCTTCCTGTGTGGTCATTTAATGCAGTAATGTTATCAGATTCCTCTTCTTTTGGCTTTCAATGTGTATATATGGGTGCACGCTCAGTGAAGAATCCCATGCACGCAGTGAGAAGAAATGCACGCTCAGTGAAGACAACACCCTAGGCTGGAAAAACTGTTGGGCACACAACGTTTAAGAAATCTGGCGACTATGAGCAAGACCATTTTATAACTCGATAGTTTCTTGAATGGAATAGCTACAAAACCGGAAATGGCGGAAAATACGTTCAACGATCGCGAAGTGCACGCGTACCGGCGACACCACTCTATATATATATGGATAAAAACGTGTATTTCACCATCTTTTGTGGTAAGCCAAATACAACAAGTGAAAACAATTCAAGAAGAAGAGTGAAAAAAAGATTTCATGCTTAATCGAATGGGGTTCTTCGAAGAGCAATCACTGATAAGCGTACCTGGATATCTCCCATGGGCCCATCGTCTTCACCGTAAGTACCAACAATGACGTTGACGTTTTCGATGATCCTCTGGAAAGTCTGGTACAAATCCTCAGGATCAAGCTGAAGGGTCAACAGGGCCAGGTCCATCTTGTTCATGAACAGAACTGGGCGGATTCTCTCACCAATAGCCTGACGCAAGACAGTTTCAGTCTGCACACAGACTCCTGTGGATGGCAGAAAAAGAGGATTAAAAACAAAAGAAATTAAGCAGTCAATACCTCAAACAAAGAAATGGGATATGACAATGTCATTTAGAACAAGGCAGAACTGGATACTTTCAGCTTACGTTATTTTTATTTCGAAATGAATTCCCTCTTAAAAAGGAATTGATGACTAGAAATTTTCCATTGCACGCCCTTAGGCTGAACCAACATAGATCAGGACAAGAAGGATAACTAACTAAAACATAGATGGTGCGGGTGTGCGCACGCACAAGGACAAAAGTATCAAACGTCAAAAGAAGTACCAGAAACACAGTCCACCACGACCAAAGCTCCATCAGTAACACGGAGTGCAGCAGTCACTTCCGATGAAAAGTCCACGTGGCCCGGAGAATCAATGAGATTGATCAGAAAGTGGTTATTTTCTGGATCATACTCCTGCTTGATGTACTGCATGTCCTCCTTGGCCAACTCGTAGTACAGGGAAATGGCACTGAAAACACAAACATTTCCATGATGCTACACTGACAAGTCAATAGCATTAAATAGCATAGAGTTGGAAAGAATAAGTCACCAATTTCATTTCATTGTTACATTACCACTGCTGAGGTCAATCTGTGTATTCTATTAAAACTAGAATCCAGCACATACTAGAAATAGCATGGGACAATCAGGCCAGTTCTGATTATTTACATTGAAATCTGTGTTTTGACTGCTTTGCAGGCTTTAGAGACTGATCAGTCATGACAGAAATCTCAATTCAATGAAAGTTTGTCAAGTTAAAGCTGTTCCTAATTATTAAAGAGCTCCACTTTCATACCGTTTTTTTTTTCAATGGTATACTGATCAGATTCACACAAGTTTACATTTCAGAACAAAGAGAACATTACACATACGCAGTGGCTACGTTCACGGCGCCGTGAATGTAGTTGGCAGGCTACGTTCACGGCGCCCTGAATGCAGAGAGTCCATATTTAGGACCTCGATTCTGGGAAAGTTTTTCCTCCTACATCAAAAATGCAAAGTCCATCCTCTAAAACAGCCATGGAAGGCTGCAAAACCACTTATTATAACATTTAAAATCATTTATGATAGATTTTTTTAGAAATGTGTGCACTTTCTATATGACATTCCAATATGGCAGGCGTAAATTTACCTTAGCAACACAAAAGAATTTTCAAAATTTTACCTCATGACTTAACTCTCCACTCTATTTATATTGATGCTACCCAATGATGCTACCACATTTGTAAGCTTAGGTTTCTTCTTCATAACGAATTAAAAAATTTCCCCCTCCTCATGCCTTAAACCGGCAGTGGACGCTCCGTCTAAACGAAGCTTGAGTGACGTGAACGTAGCCTCAACAGCGCCTACAAACTGCATTCAGGGCGCCGTGAACGTAGCCTGCCAACTACATTCACGGCGCCGTGAACGTAGCCACTGCGTTATACATAATCATTACTACAACAAAATAACAGAAGTCATGATGTTGGCCTACAAATTCACTTCAATTAAGACTCACGTAGACTTGATGGTGATACATCTTTCTTGCTCATCCTTTCTGGTGTCTGTAAAACGGGTCTCACCAGCCTTTGCAGAGGCAATGATACCAGCTTTACTGACCAAGGAATCAGTCAGGGTTGACTTTCCATGATCCACATGAGCAATGACGGACATGTTCCTGATATTTTTCTTGTTGTCCATAATGGACCGGATCTCGTCGACGGTAAAGTTCACCTGAAACAGACAACATTTTATGAATACACAAAAAAAATGTAGGCTATTTTATTTTGAAATCTACCATTCCCATCTCTCGTATTCAGACATCAAGCCAAGGCCAGGAAGTCAAGGGAGCATTCCCCCTCGGCCCTCCCCTATTTTACCATGGCGTCCATGGCTTAGGATTCTTGTTCGTGAAACAGTAAATGACAATGTACATTAATTCCACACTTTGCACAAACCATTCCAGTTTTAGTTGTGCAATATTGCTATATCACTATGATACCATCAACTTCAGCTACAACAGCCAACCAAGTAGGCACCTAGAATCTAGAGATCTTTTTTTAATATAGATTTATTAGAGGGTTTTACGGCGCTCGCAACTGCATTAGGTCATATGAGCCCCAAATCTAGATATCTGAGTATGAGAACGAAAGTAAACAGCCCCATAAACTCCCTTCTCATAACTTCACTGGACTAAAATGTTTCACCAACCATAACAAAGATCAATGAATCTGCCATCAACAAAATAATAGGCCCTAATGTGGCGCTTTTTCAGTAGTTCCCACCTCGCGATTGTTATTCGCGGGTTTTGGCCCCAAGAGTAGGGGGGTTTCAGGGGGGCTTGCCCCCCTGACCAAATAAAAACAAGGTGGGGGGTTTCAGGGGGGCATGCCTGAAGTTGTTAGGTTTGACATCTTAGCTTGCCGCGAATCAAACGTATATAGATCTATATGTAGGTCAGGCTCTATCAAATAAGGGGGGTGGGAACTACCGAAAAAGCGCCAGGTAGACTTATTAGGCCTTACCTTCAGTTTCAGACTCACCAAGTAAGTGATTTTTTTAAAACAAGGGAACTCAGCTTGATTGGATCTATCTTGATATTTCCTCTCTCATAATTTATTACATATCAAACATTGTTAGGCCCATTTAATTTAACAACAACCGTATTATATTATAATTTGTCATCGTAGATTTATGTAGAGACACCAATAGATCTACAAAGATAAAGTTGGTTGTGCGTCGTCACGTATGCTCAGCATGACTCGACGGGAAAGGCGAAACAAAACAAGTCGGCAGATATGAGGCATTTCCTAAACATTTAATAATTTCACTCTAGATCTATGTGTAAAAACCACAGGTTGAGAGAACTTGACTGTAAACATCTGAGAGCGTAAAAACTTGCCATTAGATCTATTTGATGCTAGATCTGGAGATCAACTTGTCAATCTGCTGCCCAACAACCGGGGCTACGTGGACCAACTAGGCCTATTTCACAACAGTGAGACACACCAGTACCATCAGTGAAAAACGTTTACAGAAAGACCTAAACACCTTCAAGTTTCGATGAAATACACACATAAATCAATTCAACTAATGTAACAGGAACATTTAAAGTAATAAAATTAATCTGATTGGACTTACCATTTTGGATAGAGTCTAGATGGACAACCACACTAATTTCTGTGTTGCCCTATCAATGGACTCTGGGGGAAAAGGACGTCACATATCACGTGATGATTGGAGGTTAAGCTGAGATATGAAAATTTTAGTTTCGTATATTCAAATAAATCCTGGTAAAATCAGGGACCTTGTTTATTTACATTGTTAGGTCTCATGCACAGAATTCTACACTAAGTGTAGAATTCTGTGGTCTCATGTCAAATCTTGCCGAAAAAAGAAGGGTACTTTTTAAAATGTTCTAAGCTGGCCTAGTTTTGTTTTAGAATATGCGGACACTGAAGTATAATACACCTGTGCGATAATAAAGACCTAATGTGCTAATCTTTTGTATGATTTGAGTAATTTGACCGCTCCATTTGGACTTCGCCTTGATTCTGGATCTCTAGATCTAGATTTATTTGATTTTTGAAACAGTTAGGTCTTGCGTGTGGTAACCTAAAGAGGTATACTGTACAACAAAGCCTACTCTAATACGGGTGCTTGTTGACCAGGCCTACCGCAAAAAAGCAAAACTGTATACATGTAACCTAGGCAAAGCTGCCATTAAGGGGTTTTTTAATATTGGAACTTCGAAACTATACGCAACAGTAGGCCCTTGGACAACATGTGCCAGATTGCCCGATTTTACCAATGGTTTTGCTTTTCGTTAGTTTCTTCTTTGTTTTGTTTTGTTGGATTTTTCTGCATGTAAGAACAATTAAAAATGATCTTACGTTTCGGTGCCCCGGACATTTTACTAAAACGGACATGCGAGCACAAGAAACATTACTGAGATAAGAACAAAATATTGTTCAAAAAATATAATGTCTCGCGTTGATGCACTCGGCACTCAATATGGCTTTCTAGTCTATCAGTCTATAGGCCTATTATATAAGTCTGTTGAGTGGGTATTTTCAATTTTGAAAAGGTATGAAAAGTATAAACGAGAAGCTCCTGTAGCAGAAAATCGACAACCAGTATAAACAATGACAGTGCGGGGAAAAAGTCATGACGCAACTTATCCACAAATATCTCTTTTACAGGTGAAATGCCATCCATACTTAGCACAATCAGTTTGTATCAATTTGTCTTTTAAGGCTAACTAGATCTAGATCTAGATCTAGATCCGGATTATATTTACTTTTCCTGAAAAATTAGGGCTAGATTAAAAACTTTCCTTCATAACTTTGTATAAAATTGATCTACTAGATCTAGACAGATCTAAATACAGTGGAACTCGGATTCAACGAGCTCGCTAAACACAGTGGAACTCGGATTCAACGAGCTCGCTAAACACAGTGGAACTCGGATTCAACGAGATGAGATGGATTCCCCGGGGTTTTTTTCTCATTTAAAATCAATTTTTAAAAAACAACCTGGATTCAACGAGCACTTAAATCAGCGAGCTTGGATTCAACGAGGTCGCTTCGAGG